TTTCTTGAAGTTCTCGTGACAGCTGCTGTTTTTGGAGAGGGACACATTATAATTTGCTGCCGTAATGTAAATTTTAATTTGTTGTTATAAACATAAACAACATATTTTTTTTTGCCACTAGCTATTTTGTTGTGTAAGAAGCCAGAAACTATTTCAATTTATGATCATGGATACCATAAAGACCTATACACCAGAGGAAACTGATGGAAAACTTGAAATTTTAACAAAGGAAACTCAAGATAAATATGACGTTAAGGAAATGGAATTTGAAGAAAAAAACATAATGATGACTCTCCATCAACAACACTTCACAGTTCTGATGAGATTAAAGCCCTGAACACTCTAAGAGAGGAGTAAGTAGCACAAGAGAACATGGATACTGTATTATAATCCAATACTTTTTGTTTTTTATAATAGAACTGCATTATGAGCATAGGTCTGGTATACAGTATTGACAATAACATTGAATTTCCCAGACTTTACTGACTGGCAGCAGGATGGGGGTTAACATTAAATAGATTGATTTTGCAATTTACTGAGTGGGGTCAGGGCAGTACCTGGATTTTGTTGATACTAAATGGACATAGTCAAGCCAGAGCCAGTGTCGCAGGAAGCTACTGCACTCTAACAAATTGCACCAAAATTAATAACAAGCCCTTCCACACCCCCCCCTCCTTCATTATGCTATCTGCAGTAAAAACTTTTGTTGCATGGTAGGGGGGCCCACCCAATAAAGCTACAAAGCCCCAATATTTACAGTGTCTTGTGCCAGCTCTTAGTCCCCTACTAACCTGCTGAAAGCATTGGCTAACTTCTTTTTTTTTTAACCACATAACAGATATAGCCATTAGGAATTTCACTGCAGTTATCCCCACACCAGGCAAACAAAGTTAAGAAAACCAACAAACGAGTTTACATACACTGAACAAACAGGTAGACCTTCAGAATAACAGCCCCACTGTTCAATGCCCATAAAATGTAACAGCAGATGTCCACATAATCCATAACAGCCTGTAATATAGTAAGGCTGGCCCTGTATGATACTCTATATAAAGGCAGGCAGCAGAAGCTGTTATCAAGTGCCGTAAAAAAAAACAAACACTTGGCTGGTGATAGGTCCAGTGTCCAAATGGGGGGGGGGGGGGGGGTTGAGGTCTGGTACTTCAAAGAAGAAATGTTCTATCCATAGCTTGACTGGTCCAGTAACCCTGCAGCTTGACAGGGCTTGATCCCTGCTGTCTGCCTCAGAGTAATGGACTATATGGCTGAAGATCTTAAACTTTCTAATCCAAGAACCCATAGAAGATGACAGTTACTGTACCAAGACCAAGAGGAGAAATGATAATAAAATGTCAGCAAAGTCATACAAGGACAAAAAACAAACATAAGAAAGTACACGCGTTTGTTTCCATTCAAGTACAGTTCTCGGTTTTCTCGTGCAAAAAAAAGTGAATTGTTGATAAAATAATAGCTATGAGTCAATACCATGACTAGACTCCTAAGTGGCATTTCAATGTACATACTTATGCATTTATAAAAAAAAAACTATGCAAAGTAGCACATATAAACGTTTTATACTATCCGGCTCTGCATTCGAATTTTTGTTAATACAGGAAGTGTAAAGACCTGAATTTGAATTAATATCAGCCTCTTTCAGTCCCTGTACAAAAAAAAAAAATCTCAGACCTTGCCTGTGTAGCTCTAATCCAGCTCTTACTCTCTATGCTCAGGTGCAGAACCCCAGATTTTGCACATGGACAAACTAGGCCACAGAGTCAAGTGGTGGCCATTCACAAACACATCCGCTACCCAGTTGGGTGCCAACCCATAGCCTTAAGCCAGCCATAGACAATGCGATTTTCTTTCCTGCAACCACAGGCTGCAGGAAAGAAAATTGCTGGATTTCCTCATCAACACAGTCAGTGTTGATGGGGGAATCCCTCCCACAGAGCCATTGTGTTCTCCCGGTGGGGGGGGGGGGGAGCTGTCCCCACTCAGGAGAACACAGTGATTACTGCTAACAGCTATAATAGCCACTAGCAATAATCATGTAAAATCCAATAGGCAGGTTGTACCCAAGTTGATCGATCGATCAGCTTGGGTACATTCAGCCTGCCCATAAATGCTTTAAATATTGGCCAGTCCGTGCTTAACCGGTCAAGATTCAAACCATCTTTAGAAACACTGGTCTAAGGACCTATGTTGTACTGCTATACAACTCTTATAGCATTCTGCTCACTTAATCTGCTTTTGCTGTATTTTATTTATAAAACAAAAACCCAGACATTGTAAAAACATACTTTATTTATGTACACAATATTCTTTTAATTGACATTTTTTCTGTTTTACTTCTTCAAGGCTGGAGAAAGTTAATACAAAGGATTATATAACATCTCTATCAAATCACTTGGTTTCATATGGATGTAAGTGCTGTTAATTAAAACCTTAATATCCACTAAATACTGTAGGTCATCAGTAGTGCATAGAGTTTATGAGATTGAGATTTGGAAATATGTTTTAGGTATAAAAAAAAAACATATACTTGAGGTCCTTTGAACAGAAGGTGCTGTTTCAGAGGAAATAAGGCTTTTTTTTCCATTTTTCTGGTTCCTGCAAGCATATATTATTTAGGGAACACTGTCCTTCCCCAAAACACAATGAACTGTCAGATATCTAAGCTGTTTGAAGAAACAGCTACTAGTGTCAGTTATACCTATAGAAATATCCAGTTTTGTTAGACAGAAACGACCACACAATAACAAAGAAGGGCCACATGATGGGAATGAAGAATTATTAATAAATCTTATTTTAATCAAATCTTTTGAAGTAGAGTAGTTTCAGCAAATTGAACCAAATTTCAGGCCAGCACAGGTACTAGATTCTCCTCAGATATATGGATTTTAATTCAATAGAATATGAATGTTTCAGATGAAAGAGAAAAGAAACCATGATTTCTGAGAATTTCATTGGTCTGTATGAAAATTCCTTATTAAAGAGTTTAATAAACCCAAGTTTTAGTCCTTTGAGTGTAATAGAGGGGAATTCCAAAAAAGTGCTTATATCTAAACTGAGCCCTTAACATTCTATTACAGTTTTACTGCAGAAAAAAAAAACAATCCTTCTGGTGCGCAAAGACCCTTAGCCCATGTTTAGACACGTGGCTTTTATTGTGCACCTCTGAAAAGTGATCTGCAGTGGATCAATTTTAAGAGAAGCTTGACAGGCAGTGAGGAGGTTCCTATTTTATCCCTAATACCGTACCACTGCATTACAGCCATGTTTGCTTAAATGGGTTGCATTCCACACTGCCCACCAAATGTGGTGCGGTATAATTTTTTAGCCACTTTAAGACCGCCGCATAGCAGATATACTGCTACAGGGCGGCCCTCCTGTGCAAAATCATGTATATAAACCTGATTCCACACTTCTGCCAAGGGGGCACACAGGTGCCGCTGGCAGGTCACTTTTGCTGTGAATACTCATAGCAGTAATCAATCAGCGGGTGCCAACCAATGTTGATTGTTGAGCAGAGACAAAGAACTGAGCTCTGCCTATGTAAACAAAGCAGAGCTCCATTTTGACAGGGGGGAATTGATAGATCTTATTCCCTGCTTTGCAGGAACACAAGATCCATCACATGCCTGAGTAAAAGCACCTAACACAGTACACAAAACACTGGCTATGCAAACCCTTTCCCATCCAGTGTCATTAGTACACTGTCAGTGCATATTTTTAGCACTGATCACAATATTAGTGTCTCTGGTTCCCACAAAGTGTCAGTTAGTGTACAAATGTCTGCCACAATATCGCAGTCTCACTTTAAGTCACTGATCGCTGCCATTACTAGTATAAAAAAAAAAAATCCAGTATATATTCCATAGTTTGTAGGCGCTATAACTTTTGCGCAAAGCTATCAATATGCGCTTACTGGGATTTTTTTACCACCAATATATGTAGCAGAATACATATTTGCCTAAATTTCTGAAGAAATTAGATTTTTTTTTTTTTTATTGGATATGTTTTATAGCAGAAAACAAAAAATATAGTTTATTGTTTCAAAACTGTTGGTCTTTTGTTTATAGTGTAATCAGTGGTGATCAGATAGTGTAAAAAAGTGGTGATCAAATAGCACCAAAAGAAAGCCCTATTTGTAGGGGAAAAAAATTACTCAAATGTAATTTATGTACAGTGTTGCACGACTGCGCAGTTGTCAGTTAAAGTAACACAGTGCCGTATTGTAAACAAATCGCCTGGTCAAGAAGGGGAGTAAATCTTTCGGAGGTCAAGTGGTTAAGCAAAGCATCAGGGCCACGGAATATGTACACTGCCTTCTACCTGTCTTTCAAACTTAAAGGGGGCAGTTGGAAGTTGGTAAAAATGCAGCTCAACCTGGTTTTGCCACCTCCCCAAATGCAACTCTAATCAAGTCCTTACTCTTTTTGGGATCCACATAGTTTTCACATTGCCTGAGATGCAGAAAAATGCAAGCCTTCAGAATTCACAAGTGGCTTTCCTACTTTCTGTGTACTTATACTGCAAGTAGATCTGCAAGCTAAAACAGGTATCCCATGTTATCTTGGAGTTGTGAATCTCTCTGATGCTAGCTGGTGATGTGCATATACAGTACAATTTAATGATCTGTAGTTCCAATAGGAAAAAACTACATTCCACAGATGCTGAAATTATATGAATTCTATAATTCATGATGCATATGCCAATGGCTAATTACTCTGGTTGTTGACTTTGCTGCGGGAACATATTCACTTATTGGGGGCTTCAATAGATCTCGAAAAGTACAGTGAAAACTTATATGTTTTTACATGTAAGTGTATAATGCTTTGTTTGATAGGATCTGTACTTTTCTGTGATGGTAATCTTTATTTTCTTTTTTCTCTATACCAGCTCTGTTTGTGACAGAGAAGATTACCTTTTCACTGGAATCCACTCATGACACTATTAAAAATATGCAATCAACTGACCCAGATTTTCATCTGGTTCCCAACATTGATGACTTTTTTTATCCAGTAATGGACAACAGAACAATAAAAGTAAGTTGCTCTGTCTCCAGTGCGAAGTCACAGTAGCCTCACATATCTTAAATGCTGCTCTTAGCCTTTCCTCATTAAACCTAATTACTTTGCTTTAAGTGTATTTAAAGCAAAGTTTTTAGAGTAGGAAAGAATTAAAATCCACATCAGATTTTTTTGTGTCATCTGTGTCCCATTGGAGATATTTCCCTTCACTTCCTATCCTTGAAACTGAAATTAAAAGAGGAAATTTCTCTAAAGTGAGGGAAATACTCTCTAGAGCAGGGGTCGCCAAACTTAGAGGAATAGTGCTCCATCGTTGGTGCCAGTGGGGTAATTAGTTGCCCATTTCTGGTTTCAGTGGGAGGAACAGAGCCCCGTCGCTGGTGTCAGAGGGAGGAAGAATGCCCAGATGCTGGTGTCAGTGGGAGGAACAGTGCACCATCGCTGGTGTCAGAGGGAGGAACAATGCCCAGATGCTGGTGTCACTGGGAGGAACAGTGCACCATCGCTGGTGTCAGTGGGAGAAAAACAGTGCTCAGATGCTGGAGTCAGTGGGAGAAACAATGCCCTGCCACTGGTGTCAGTGGGAGAAACAGTGTCCCATTGTTGGGATCAGTGGGAGGAACAGTGCCCCATTGCTGGGGCCAGTGGGAGGAACAGATCCTCATTGTTGGGGTCAGTGGAAGGAACTGTGCCCCATCATTGGGGTCAGAGGGAGGAACAAGTGCCCCATCATTGGTGTCAGTGGGAGGAACAACGCCCCATTGTTGGTGTCAGTGGGAGGAACAGTACCCCATTGTTGGTGTCAGTGGGAGGAATAGCGCCCCATCCTTGGTGTCAGTGGAAGGAATAGCATCCCATTATTGGTGCCAGTGGGAAGTATAGCACCCCATCATTGGTGTCAATGGAAGGAATAGTGCTTCATATCAGTGGAAGGAAAAGTGCCCCAAGAGCTGGATAAAAGCAAGCAAAGGGCCACATCCAGCCCACGGGCCTAAGTTTAGAGAGCTCTACTCTAGATTCTAGACAATCACCACTTGAACAAGTATCCTCATTGAAAGATTTCTCCTCTATTCCTGTTCTGGTGACAACTTGAAATTTACCTTACTCCCGGTCCTGGGGACAATGGTCACCAATATAAATAGAGCAGGTGAATTTCCTTATCAGGGATGCAGAGATCAGTAAAACCTTACAAGGGTTCCAACTGTTCCTACTCTATCCAAAAATTAAAAAAAAAAAAAAAAAAAAAAAAAAGGTTTTGACTTTAGATGCACATTAATAAAAACCAATCACTCAGCTACAAAATCTTTGACATTTATTATTTGAATTTCAGTCTCAAGTTAAGTTGAAAGTAAGATATTGCAGCTTACCAGTCATTAGATGTGGTAGCTGCATTAGTTTTTTTTTTATTGGGCTTTTTTCCCCCTCTGGTTTCACCTGATGATCTGACCAGTAACACATCACCTATATTAGTGTGCCCTCACTCTGGATCACAGCGCAACAGAGATACCTTAGGGCAGCAACATTGTTGGTCTGTGGGCAGGGGAGTGTTGGATGCACTAGCAGATTTAAATACACTAACAAACTGAACCCAAACTCCAGCTCACACTTTTTAAGCAGTTTTTTTTCCTTTTGATATAAAGGTCTTAAATAAATAAATAAATCCTGAGCATTGCATGCACCTCTGTCAGTCTTAAATGGTCTCAACCCACTGACTGCTAGAACTGCAGAATAGTTTGTTCTGCTGAAAAACAACAAACTACTAACAAATACTGGGAAGATCACAAGGTGAAAATAAAAGAAAGCTAAAAAATGAAAAATGAATGCAGCCATCACATCAAAGAACTGATAAACTGGAATATAATAAATATTTGCTTTTGGGTGTAAATATCAGCTTGAGCTATTGATTTATGTTAACAATGTTTTATTTTTTATGAAAAAAAGGAGACAGTCCACAAAATGGGAAAATGAGTCTAAAGCTCAATAGGAGTATACAAATATTAGTATGGAAAATGTCATATTTACTTGATGAAAAATAGAAGAAATCTTTATTTTTTTTAGGAAAAAAACATGTACAAATACCCAGTATACATTCACTTTGTTAAAGAGGTTGAAAAGAGATCAGCCTCCACACTGCACACTGAATTAACCAAAGACATAGTGTGAAAACTGCTATTTGTGGGGATACTCTAGGCTTTGATTAGCGCACATCAAATTTGTAGCTTGGCTAAGCTCCACAAGTTTTTGATAAAAGTTGGGGAAAATGTCAAGTCATTTTGTTCAGCCTGCAGAAAAACTTTTCCCAATTTCCACCAGCATTATTGTCAGTGACACCCTGTATCAATGGCAGGAGTGCCATAAAGAGCATCTGAGTGAACTATAGAAGGTTATTTCACATGCCACCCTCCACACTTAGTTGTGACGGATGTACTTGTTGTTTGGGAGCAATGTTTTCCTTTTCTGCCTTTCCGAATTTTATGATACTTCATATAGCCCCCAGTGTCAGAATCACAGTAGAATGAGACAATAAAAAAGATTTCTGTACTATAGGTAGAGGAATATTTTAACAGACTACATAAAATATGAATTCTTGTGCTTGTTCACAACCTTCATACTTATGGTAAATCAAACAGATTGGGTCATGGTGACACATTTTATATGTCCCTAAGGTCAGACGACAGTAAATATCTGACTTAGACTAGCTCATTCCCTGGTGACCAGAGTTTTTTCATTTTTAATGTTTGGATCAAAGAGAGATCCAGAAAATAAACTGCTCTGAAAAAATATTTTTAGTACAGATACCTTGTATGGTGCTTGAAGAATGCATGCATAGTATATCTACTTTATTTTATGTCTGCTTCTTAATGCTATCCTGCTGGAGGGGTTTCCAGGAGTCACTGAGCTATATAAAATATTTAATAGGAAAGCTTATTAGAAAATGTTCTTCCCTAGATACATTGTGAGACTTCAATGTTTGCCTCTGCTAGTGTAAGCAATGTCCTAATATTAAGTATACAATATATAAATATACAAATAAATGTAGTGGCATCACTAGGGTTGGTGCCACCTGGTGCAGTAAAATATGGTGTCACCCTCCCATCACCACAACCATGAACGCTTGGCTCACAGTTCCTCAGAGGTTTTCAGGAGATAGCAGTACCACCTCCTGAACATCTGTCAGCCAGTGCTATACAACAATCTGAAAAGTGATCCACCAAGATTCATTTTTCAGAGGGACTAAGCAGTACAGCAGGTCTGGAAGAGCACTAAAAGAAGAAACATCTCAAGTACATTGACATTGCTTACCGATTTACTGCTGTCTGTGCCATATGTGCCCCATCTGTTGAGATTGCCTTCAGTTCCCTCTGTGGAACAGTTCCCCATGTTAAAACTCGTGCTTTCCCAATGGCACCAGCAACATCACGGGAAACGTGGAACCAGTAGGTCCTGTCCACTTTCCCCGGAGGGTTCCTCCCACCTTCACGAGTGGGTCCTGAGAACCTCCAACAGTGTGCCCTGCCCACCACCACCACAATCACCTCCAGTGTGTTTCACCTAGCTCGACCAATGCGTCCCACCCACCTCTAGTGTGTCCCTCCTACCTGCACTAATGGGTCCCGGCCATCTGCACATCTTCATTCTCCCCTCTCCGGGAAGGAGGTATCTGTAGTGCTACCCTGCCCAATCTCTTCCACCCACATCAAATGGCTGCTGGAGGAAGGTAGGAGCAGAATCCGCTCCTCCACCAGCTGTTGCAGTCACTGCTTTGTAATTCTCTAGCTGAATGACAGGAGTAACCGCAGCAGTGTTACTCCTGTCATTCAGGCACTGACAAACTGACGCTCCCAGTGCCCCTTCTCCATAGGATGGAACAGTGCCCAGGGTAGGTGTCCCAGCCCTGGTGTCACCCCTCTGGCAGGTGTCATCCGGGTGCTGTCCACTCTCCCATAGCAACGCCACTGAATAAACGCATAGGGGGGCTAAAATTTGGGTATATACAGTATTTGCCTTCCATTCCAGATTTATCATGATTCACCATAAAACTCGGAAGACCAAGCATGCTCATAAACAAAATAATTCATTACAATACATCACTTCCAAAGTTGCATTCTGTCGTACGAGAATATTTATAATGTTAGTAGCCTCTTCATTTTTAATATGAGACTAGCATGAAAATAAAAACCATACGATCATTTATCCGATATTCTCAACGTGTGTATGGGATACAGGGGCAACCAAATGTAATTGTTTCTAAGCTGTTCAGAGTTTTAAAAAACACACATATATATACATACATACATACATACATACATACACACACACAGTGAAAGAAATAAGTATTTGATCCCCCTGCTGATTTTGAATGTTTGCCCACTCACAAAGAAGTGATCAGTCTAAAAAATGGGTGTTCCAGCATGACAAGGACCCAAAACACACAGCCAAGGCAACAAAGGAGTGGCTCAATAAGAAGCACATTAAGGTCCTGGAGTGGCCTAGCCAGTCTCCAGATCTTAATCCGATTGAAAATCTGTGGAGGGAGCTGAAAGTTCGAGTTGACAAACATCAGCCACGAAACCTTATTGACTTGAAGAGGATCTGCCAAGAGGAGTGGGCCAAAATCCCTCCTGAGATGTGTGCAAACCTGGTGGCCAACTACAGGAAACGTCCGACCTCTGTGATTGCCAACAAGGGATTAGCCACCAAGTACTAAGTCATGTTTTGTGATGGGGCTCAAATACTTATTTCCCTCATGAACATGCAAATCAGTGCATAATTTGTTAGACATGCATTTCTTTTGAATTTTTGTTGCTATTCTGCCTCTCAGTGTTACAATACACCTACTATTCGATTTTTAGACTGATCATTTCTTTGTGAGTGGGCAAACATTCAAACTCAGCAGGGGCTCAAATACTTATTTCCTTCACTAATACACACACACACACACACACACACACACACACACACACACACACACACACACACACTAGATGTTAAAATAACTTTTTTTGGCTGTGGCC